GGCGGTACATGTACTCCGTTACTCCCTTCTATCACAAATCAAGGTAAAGCTTAAAAACACTCGCTCGAAATGAAAACAAACCCAAACACAAATTATTTTGACCTTGCTTGAGCGCCATCATCAAGTCTTCATACAACTGAATGAGAGAAGTGAACGAGTACCTGAATTTGAAACGAGTAGATTTTACCACATGTCTTCTGAAGATATCAAAAGCACTGATATAAACCCTCAGGAGCTGAGTTAGAGGGGCCATCCCCAGCGAGTGAGTCATGATGACACATGGTGTAATTTAACAGTCCATCCTTAAACCAGCAGCTCAGAGGGACAAACAACCACTCTTCAGCTTGTTGATATGAATAATCCCATAATTGAAACAATCTGCTTGAAATTGCAGAGGGGGTCTACGGTTGAGAAGCCAATAACAGAGTCAACGGGAATCAAAAACACTTATTCTTGAAAAGTACAGTTATTGTCATGGGGAAGGCTGCAATGCACATAAACAGTCATTTAAGCAGGGTGGAGGTTACACGTGTGGAAGGACACATTTAGAGATAAACATTTGCAGTTATGTTCCTGGTTAAAGAAGGTGTGTGTGCGTGTACGTGTATGCGTGCACATGTGTGTGACCTTTACACATGCCCTCTAATTATCTGCTGCACAGTTTGAAGTGAGCGAGCGCACCGTTGGTCTATTTACAACATGATGAGGCCCTGACAGCGTGGAAGAGCTTTTGATCACATTAGCTGCCTTTATTCATTTGAAGTTGGCAAAGTGATGCGGAGCGTGAATTTACAAAACAAGACTTCAATCCAACGCTGACCAACGGAGCAGATTTCATATGCAAACTGAGTGAAAATGCAAAGCGGAGGCCAACAGCTTGTGCTCTGTGTGACGATGCAAAACTGCACGGACAGACTACCCCTGAAGTGCACCAACCGAATTGTGAGCCTAACAAACCTGCTTCTCCGATAAGGCAATGCGCCCTGAAATGGCACAAACTTTGACTGAGCGTAAGAAGGGAAGCGTATCAGCTTCTGTTCGTCATTGATCATTTAAAAGTGCTCCAATGGGAAAAGATCTGTGAGAGAGCAGTGGGGAAAAATAAGCCCTTAGCTGACAGCAGGTTTATGACAATGACTTCATCTGTGGCCATAAACAAAAACACTGACACTGCAGTAAAGTGTGCAAGGCCACAACACCTGCTCAGTGTGCATACTGTGAGTTTCACTTATGCCTCTCAAAGCACCTGAAATCAATGTTTTTTACATTTACAATAGATCACGACTTAAAGGCAAAGGCTTTGTTCTCATCAGCTCATCAAGCGCTCACAGCGAGAATTAGAAATGCTAAGCGTTTAAGAAAAAGTCTGGTTCCACAAAGTGACACAATGACTGCTTTTGTTATGACAGTGTTGCATTTTGCAAGTTTTTAGAAAAAAAACCAAAGCATTAAAACACAAAAAAGAACAGTAAATGCACTGAGGACTAAAAGCTAGTGGAGAAGATAATGTGGAAATGACACACTGTCTATTACCAGAGGAAGAACAAGAGCAAAGACTTCAAAGGGGAGAAATAGGGCAGTAGAACCACAACGGTCAAATATGTGGAAAATCTGTTGGTTGTACATGAAATGAGAAAAGTTTTGGGTCGCAGGACCTTCATGAACTCCCCTGCTGTGGGTAAATCAACAAGCAAGAAGTGGAGTGCAGAAATAATTAGATGCAAGGAAGGAAATACATTTTCTGTCAGACACAGGGAAGGGAAAGATTGCATAAGCGAGCTATTGTTGTTCAGTACAGTCTGCAATGCAGATCACATTCAACTAGAGACAAAAGCTAACTGTGTTTACCAATATTTACTGTAGTACCAAAAGAGGTCAACTTGCAGTCATTGCATTTTATCAAAAAAAACCAAAAACTTTTATACGTTAAAAGAAAAAAAAAATACTAGGATGAGATGGAGCAACACACAAGAAATTTGAATGATTATGTTTCTGCAACTGAAGGAAAGAAAAAAAATAAGCAAACTGTGACACAAAATGGCATCAGGAGAAGACATGAATGCAGAGAGGGAAAAGGAGAAAGGAAAATCACACTGGAACAACAGAAAGACAGTTTGGAAAAGGAAGTTTAAACTGTAACGAGCCACGAGCCAGACAAACACTAATACGCACTCGCGCACACACTAACACACACCGTGGCACATGCACGCAACTTTCAAAGGTCTGGTCAGGCTCCAGATGTTCCCTGAGAGCTCTGCGGCTCAACATCGGGTCCATTTAGCTGCTATTCAAGACCCATTTATTATGCTAAAGATGTTCTGATTTAGATTCACGTCTGAGCACTTCCTGGGCAAAACGTCATCTGCCAGCGGAGCTCATTTGATATGATCAAAAGCACCATTACAGCTGTTAAAGGAGGCTATTGGTAAGATATATTTTCTTGCCGTTTTAAAGGTGAAGAAAAAAACCTGTCATACATCTTCTCATGAGCCGGCACGGGCAGCGACTTCTTGAGGGCTCATTTCAGAAAGGAAATTACAGAATCCATCTGTAGATGAAGATCATGCGGCATGATAAAAAGCCCCAAAGTGGCTAGTGTTCTGTCAATGGCTGCAAAAGAATGGCCTCATCTTGGAAAGCCACAGGGCCGCCAAGTCCTTAAAGTACTCAGAAGAAGATAATTTCATCATCTGTAATTTCTAATTGATC